TAATCAGAACAAAATACGCATTAAATACGGTCCACACTTAGTATCATGATAAACAGGACAATTGTTTTAAAACACTTCATAGAATCGGACTCGATTACTCTTTCTGGTGTGTAGTTTACGATTTTTTCTTCTATACAAAGCTGATGTGATATTTTGTTTATGCGGGGGACCCTGAGTTTGCAGCGGTGTCCTCCGGTACTAAAGGGTTCTCGCAGGTAAAATATTAGCCGCATTATAGAGAAGTTATTCAAGCGTAGCACTCGATGGGTCATAATAAGTTCAATTCTTACTCGGTGCTAGGATAGTGTGTAGAGTCCGAGCTTTTCACAAGGTGTTTCATACAGAAGCTTTCGTAAAACCGGTATCATTCTAGTTGCCATATGCTGTATTTTCTCCAGCTTTTCAGTTTTCCGCTAGATTATCGGATGGTAACCTGAGGCACCGTATTCAAGGATTGGTCTAATGAACGTGGTGGATAGAGGAGGGACGGTTTCTTCGAACCATATGGAGAAACTGCGTCTTAATGCTCAGGGTATACGAAGTCCCGCACGGTACAATTTCTCTGCATTTTCTAGTGTTCTCATATCATACCGCGAGAGCACCCCTAAGTCTCTGACAGATGTGTTATGGTAAAACAACTGGCCGTCCAAGGTGTATGACTGAGTGGCTGGACGTCTGGTGATACTGATTAACTCCGACTTACTTCCTTTAAGAGGGAGCTGCATTTCACTAGACCACGTTGACAGTCACTCTAAGTCATGCTGGAGGTGAGTGCAGTCGTCCTGGTTCTCAATGATTTTCCAACTTTTAAAATCATCTTCTAACAGGGTACATGGTTACTGCAGCTGCTGCGGAAGATCGTCGAAATGAATAGGAAATAACACTGGCCCAAGTAGCGTTCCTTGAGGCACTCCACTGGTCGATGGAAACCAGTCTATCAGGTAGTCGTTGACCTGTACTCTAAACTTTTGTCCCACAATAAACTCGTGTAACCACTGAAGTAAAGTGCTACCGACTCCCTATGTCCTCAGTTTACGAAGGAGTACCTCGTGGTTCACTCTGTCAAACGCCTTACTAAAGTCGATGTACACCACGTCAACATCATTCCGTTCGCTGAGAGCTCGTACCCATCGGTGGTTTGCGTACATCAAGTTGGTGATGCAGGATCGCCCTTTAGTAAAGCCGTCTTGCGCTGGCGTCAATACGTCCATCGACTCGAAGAACGACTGCAGACACTTATTCACAACCTTCTCGAGAACTTTGGGTAATATCGAAGTAAAACAGTTCGGTCTATGATTCTCTATTTTACTCGGATCACCACCTTTAGGAAGTGGTCTCACTATCGAACATTTCCAATCGTTGGGGACGAATCCTTCAGAGAGTGATTTATTGAACAGGTTTGTCACAGCTGGTGAGATGATAATCGATAGGGACTTGAGTATTGGTGGGTGAAGTCCGTCTGGTCGGGTGGGTTTGCACCATCGAGGTTGACGAGTTGCTAACTGATTATATTCTGTATCAAATCAATGTGGTTTGACAGGTCCAATTTTTAAATACTTCGAGGAAACAAACCGAGTACGCACCGACTTAAGCTTTCCCTTCATTAATGACCAACAGGCCTCAAGCGACGCATCCTGTGGTAATGTCCAATCAGTCTGACTTTGGCTTGGACGAGCCCGTTGAAGTCCGTCCTCCAATAGTTGAATGTCGGGTTGTAATACGGTAACGGTAGTTCTATGCTTGCCACAGTGGAGCAGTGGTCACTGTTCGCCAGAGGTTCGAGGACTCTGATCTTCTTCAGCTTCTGCTCGCAGCTCGTAAACACTAGGTCCAGACAAGAATCCGAGTGCGGTTACACGCGTCGGTTAGATGATATGTTGCGTTGCCCCCATTTCAATGGTCATTTTAGCGAATTGTGCCTCAACCTTAGCATGACCGGGAAGAAGCCGAACGTCTGGGCAGAATATCTTAGGTGAATTTAGATCCCCTATCATTAAGAACTGAGGGCGGCTCATGTGGTTCAGTACATGTGGTAGACAATCGCAACAACGGTTTAATGGGCTACGGTAGATAACACCTATTAATTCTGCGCCTCTGAGGCAGATTGCGCACCACAATTTCTCGCGTAAGTTAGTTATGCTCGCTCCGACACGTACTGGTAAGTTTGCCAGATTGTGACGGTTTTATGTAAAACAGAACACCACCGTGAGCCTTAGATTTTCGGTTGCATCGGAAGCAAGGATATCCTGACAAAGCGACTTGTTGGTGTATGACGTCGGAATTCAGCCAAGTCTCTGCAACTCTTAAAACGCGCGGCCGCTCCAAGACAGCGATCGGCACAGTTCGTAATATTCGTTCATTAAATTGCACACGTCGGCGAATGCCACACTGAGGTCTTGGGAGGTACTGCGGTACGTGCCTGTAGCTTGAGCAACTGGTTGGTACGGATTCGTACACCCTTCTTGATCCCCCGAAGATTTACGATTCCTAATTCACTCTCACCTTCTTCTGTACGGCGTTTGATCTCAATGACCCCAGTCTTCAAACGATCCTTGTCTTTACGTTCCAAGTCTCGGCGGATGTGAACGTTTATGCCTTTCAGTCTTAACGGAGGAGGCAGTATAAGCTGCGGCATATTATGATTTGCAAAGATGATTCTCAGAGGTCGACATGACTGGTTACTTTTCTGGCCCAGTCGGAATACTTGTTTAATCGCCGCCCTCTCTTCGCCCACATCCAAGAGGCTATCGATGAGCCGCTGGAGGAACCCAACATCGTGATCATAATGTAGCTGAGGTTTTTCATCTTTTGACTTTAGTACTTTGAAAACCATTAGATTATGATGCCTCAGCAAAATCGGTGATGAACCTGTGAGAGCAGAACCAGATGCGCTTATCTGATTGGCTTGGTGTTTATCAGCAGGGGACGCCTGAACTCGATAACGTGACCCCTTGCGCTTTTGTGTGGTCCATGAATCCTCGGTGTTCAGAAGTTCACAGACAGGCTCTGAGAAATTCACGGACCGATCAGTGAAGCGGCATTTTGTAGCTTCCGAGTCTGAGTCTTCTATCGGTGGGGAACATTGAACCTGAGGCTTGGACGGGGTCGAAGTCGCTGGTGGTGGTGCAGATCACGGCGTGACAAGAGAAGGCGAGCTGACAGACGTACTTTCAAGAGGGCGTTTGACCGCACATGGCGAACCGTTTATTTCTGTCTGGAAGTGAGGCTTTCCCGTGCTTGTCGGCGGTCGCTGTGTATTCTGATGTCTTGCACCGCGACATTTTTCACATATAACTTGGAAAAGCCCATGTCCGATGCGGAGAGATTTTCGAAACACATCAACGGATAAGCCAATGTACGAACTATGGAACAAAACATTGCAGCCGGGGCATCGAAGTGCATGAGCCTTATTTTCTACAAGTTCCGAACACGAACCACAAGTAACTTGCGATGGCATCACAAGGTAGAGGACATTTAAGATGGCGGACAGAGATGGCAGAAGGGCAAATCATTGAGATCTCCGGAATTAGCCAAAAAATAGCCATCAAATCTGTACCGATTGGAAAATACGCCAAAGAAGAATATTGGTGCACAATTCACACAGAAAACACTGATAACACAGTAATCCGAAGCAAAAGTAGTGTCTAGCACATGGTGATCCAAAGATCTGCGACGTCCGTGGAACGCGTACACCTTAACTTGATATTAAATGTACACATTGCCCATCCACATCCAAAGAACTTTGCGTTACAGTAGGTTTATATGCGTCTGGCTTCTCGTTGCCAAAATAATTGATTAAACTATCTCCTCTGTCCATTCGTTGTCAACAATTTACTATCGACTTGCTGTCACATATGCTCCCATATTTATATTTCCGTTACGTTCCACCAGCAGTAAATGTGACCTCAGGCTATTCTTTTGAGTCGTCCATGGTGTAGCAACAAATACCTCTACTGTATTTACTGCTCCGTTTTCCATGCCGTGCTCATTTACCTCTACCTTAAATCTTCAGCTATCGCATAAATCAATCTAAGGTTTAACGATTGGAACAGTGGCGAGTAGCACGTAGTATCAGTGATCGAGCTGGTCGCGTTGTAGTCCACAGGGATTCGCTATCCAAATTGGGCTTTAGTGAGAATTTTATTTACGTTCATATTTATTTGAACTGGCAACAATCTGAGCAAGTGTATCTGCATTTTTCAACAGTAAATGTACCCACTAGCTTATCTTTTCTATTTCTAACTTATCCTACAGTTCATGAAACAAGAAACCGTGCATGTCTGTTATCTTCCGTTGGCACACATATTCGAACAACTTATTACGGTCAGTGATAGTCGCGTTTTGAGATCTCATTTGTCACACGAATTCATGTTTTCAAGTAACTCTAATGCTATATCACTAATATCGCTTTCAATGGTTTCGACATCGCTCATTGTTAGTGTCGTTCCTCTTGGGGAACTGCGGATTTGACACAGGCGTCAGAACGCGACTCGCAACCGATCAGTCGTAAGTCACTGTTTGGTGGGTGTTTTGCAAATTGTCAACATGCGATATATTTGGGCATTGCAGGTGGTTCAAATCCCATCAACTCAGCTCTTTCATTCACATAATGAACACCATATGTAGGGGGTGCTGTGGTACATGGTTTCATTTAGCCAATACAATAATCATGTGCCCTTGAGATAGATTTGGTCCTGGCGTTTGATTTGCTATCGTTAAGGCATATTATGAAGTGGGGAAATTCTTCACATTCAAGTTTTCGATTCTACCCTTGCCCTCCCGGGTTGCTAAAATCAATATGTCACTGTGTTGCGTTTCCTATCTTTAGTTGTCATGGTGTGGGCAACATCAGTTACCAAATATATCGACAATTACTCGAATGGATGTGACTAGGTAGATTCCAACCAAGGTCCATGCTCGGTTCCATACCACAATCTGTCTAAACTTTTACAACCAAGCTAATCCTATTTGCGCACATTGTGTTTGCATCATAAAATATAACTGTTGTAAGCTTCATTGATAATTCACACTATATTACCGTATTGGATAGTGAAAAAGTAATCCTTGAGTTATTTCACCAGTGCCACCTTTTCCCTCCACCTAGAATGTGGTCCTGTTGGTTGGAGGTCGCGAAGCATTTCTCACAGGCGGTCCCGAAACTCTTATGGCGGATATCCGTCAAGCGCAACCAACCATGCTGGTAGCCGTGCCACGTGTACTTACTCGACTTTACACAGAATATCACAAGAAAATTCCCAGTCTCCGTTTCGTCAAAAAAATGCTAAATTATACTATTAAAAGGAAACATGATGAGCAGTCTATGTGAGTTATTTGCTGTCAGCCCAGCAGTTCATATAATTGATAAGTCATGCCTTTTAATGCCGGCTACATCAATCTGATTTCAGGCGAACACCTAACGGGTCTTGCAATATCCATTTGTCTTACAGGGGCAAATTTGATCAATGCAACACTATAGATCTACTACTGTTTAAAAGATTTCGCAACGCATTTGGTGGCCGCGTGTGTTTGATATTAGCATCTGGGGCACCACTGATTCCCGAAATTTCACTGTTTTTTCGAGCTGCATTGAACTGTCCGGTGAGTATTTTGAACCCATGTTGACGCCACCAACAGAACAGTCCGTTCATGTTGTCTTACTGTGTAGTGTGATTGTGTGTGTCACTGCGCCTTTCTAAGCATTGTGAATCTGTTGACTTATTTCACCAATTGTTAAAGTGATGTCATGAAATGAAGCGTGTTTCAGTGCTGCTAAGGACGACTACCGTGTGGTTTAGCATTTTTGTAATCCAGTGATTTCTGTTTACCTTAGTTACCCAACATCAGCAACCCCGGGTTACTCATTCAGTATCAGTAATGTTGAAGAAGTATTATAGTATCTTCTGGTGCTACTGGGCATCAATCAGTTTACACCTGTAGCCAGGCACTAACGAAATTAAATGTCGCGCTGGATCATCTAGTTGACAAGTGACTTTTCACATAGCCATCTAGTATGATGCATCCCTGTAATTGTCCTTCAGTTATTGGACTCTGTAAGCGCCCATATGATTATAGCTTCGGAGTTACTGATTAGACACACTTTCTGATTTATTCCTGGTGATTTCGTCCTGTATTACATGTTTTCTTACGCATAACAGCAAAGGTAATAGCATCAAAACTGTGGCATTAAATAGTGCTGAGACCATTTTCGCATCCAGCTTAAGTGACTGTTCCAACCAAGCATGAACGAACAAGAGAGGAGTGACTTTGCGCAAAAAGTAAATGCCTTAACTGAATTTTAATACCTCAGGAGAATTATTTGGTTAGCGAGGAAGTTATGACTCTTAAGCCAATCCTGTTCTCCGCAGGATACTAACTCTGATGGTAGTAGAGAATCGATTTCGTTATTTCGTAACTAGTGGTCGGTGATGGTGTGATACGGCGGTTACCCATGGCTCAGTGTCCTACCTCACTCGCTCACAGAAGCAAAGTCATGGCAAGCATACAGCAAAGTTCAGCTGCATGATGCTGCTACCCAGTCCTAACAATAAGGAAAACGTACATCACTTTTTCCAAGGCGGATTTTCTGTGTGCCGGTATTTGGCTGTAGATATTTTTACAAGCCACCACAATTTCCCTCATCAATTCTACCAATTAACAAAAAATGGTAAAGTAATTCATGGTCAACAACGGATAATCACGATGATCTTCTGGCCATGTGGATGTTAAGTCTCATCGGGTAAACAGCAATATATTGGGTTTTACTGTCTTGCTTCGTATCATCTCTATCTCACAGGTCCATTGCAACAATACTAGACAATAACATGGTGCAATGGTTTGCGTACTGTAGTTCCCTAATAAGCCACCTAGAGTTGCGTATGCCAGGTGCTTTCCGAAGCATCTGTACTGTATGTTTTAATGGTTTTGGATCAGAATATCAGTCTGTGCAACTTCTTTTGAGTTTAGGGAGAGGTCGTTGGCCATCAGCGTCCAAAACATGGTCTTGGGTGAGATCACTTTGCCAGTTCTTAACTTAACTCGATTGGTGTAGATAATGAGTGACAAACATTTTTTTGACCACGGTAAATTGCTACTCAGTCTCAGTAATTACTCTCCCCCACCGCGATGCTGCATATTCCTGGTTAAATGAGTGCAGTCCCGAAGCCTTCTGCTGCATTTGACCTAGACGCTGGTACATACTATACTGAGGTCAAAAACATGTGTGCGACGGGCCTCAAGCAGATCATCGTGGAATACTACAATCTCAATGCTGAGGTAAAGTTGCTTGCCACTGCCTTTTAAACCACCGTCATCATCATTTTCCACGTTAGAGGTGGAAAACACCTCAGCTACTGTGCCGCAATACAAGAGAGGAAAAGAAAAGAAAACACATGTACTCGTCGGCTGATCTATCAGTAACGGATGGGCATTGTTCTGCAAAGCTAGCAGCCAGTTACTATGGAGCAAAAGAAATTTTACTATGTTAAATTTCTATTGTGCTAAGAAATGAGACCTTGGTTGGAGAGGTGGCTGCAATGGATGGGATAGGACACAAAACTCACTACACGAACGCGATTGAGGTCGGCCCCTTACCATATCAGCGAGTGCATCCAGCCAGAGGTGTACATTGTCTTCCGGACCCCAAGCAGGGAGCCGAGTGGCTCCAACTGTGGCCAACTTCGAAGTAGTGGTCTTCATTCCTCTCGACCAACTCACCGCTTGGCCATCGCTCCTCTTCTTCCATCCACACCCTTGGCGGGATTCGTTGGGCTGGCTTGCACAACATGTTGCTGAGCCATTGGAGACTGATGCGAGATATAACGGGGCTGAGCAATGGTTGAGTTAAAAGAAATTAGGTGGAGTCCTTCAAGCGAATCTCCGTGTATATCACAGCTTCGTATGTTAGACAGCAAAGGTAATGCTAGAGGCAGAACGCCTGCAAAATTTTTATCCTTAATGAGCAGCTGAAGGAAACTAGCTACTGTCTATACTCGGTTGCTTTTCGTCATCTTTCTCTCTCCGTTGAAACGCTACTTTCCCAGTTCATGTAGCAAGATACCGACGCGTACGGCGCAAATGTTTGTATTACTGAATGTTACTCGTCGTTTATGCATAACGTCCACTGCCACTTTGGCTATCCCAGCGTCCACGCTCCTGGTGAAGTTGACCAGCAAGTGGCATTAGCACTATTCACTGCTAAAAAGTTTGTGTGGTGTTTTTGAAACACACACACAGTATAGCTGGGTTGTATAAGCCTGTAACCGTGATTCAAAATTTCTGCATCGATGTTACACTCTCCCAGCCTCTGGACATACTGAGTGAAAGACTCAAGGTGTTTATGATGTCGGTATTGATCATAGCGATCAGCTTGAAGTCAATCTACTCGGCTGCATGCCAGTGAATTACTCTGCATGTGCCATGTGAATTTAAACGTCCATCAGGGTGAATACACACCTGACGACACAGACATTTAACGGTTTCGACAACTGGGCTCGGAAGGTAGAGAAGATGAATGCATTTTGGTTAACTCTATGCGTTGTTTATGTTTAGTTCTTCATCAGCATTTTATATTAATAAACATAACTGATGTTTTCTATAATCGACTAGAGTTGTTAAAGTGATATCACCGTTTCAAGTGGATACTCAGGTGCTCAAATTCGTGCGAATCTGCTGACCTGGCTCGAATCATTCCCTTCCGGAGGCAAGCCATAACAGTTGCAAAGAGTGTCTCATTTCCTTCTGAACGCACAAATTGGTGCCTGTTACTTATATGCATAATGCCTTCGTAGTGGCAGTCACGCTCTTAATCCAGAGCCGTGCGTTGATGATATTTTACAGAATCTGGAAATCGGATTGCTTCTTACATACAATAAATTTCTCTTAAGAACTTTGAAAGTGCAATAGGGAAAAACAACTCAGCCGACTGGATATGCTGAATTCAGCGTATTTCAACATTCTAATCCATATATCTCCTAGGTATAGCCCTAGAGAGGGGATCAGATGGCTCACTCTTTAGGTCGATTTTTCCTAAACCGCTTTGGACAGGACAGCACCTGAATTTCAACGGCTACTGTCCCTTGAGCTACAAACGCTTGTGGGTTCATACATTTTTTATGAAAGCCCAACGAATCTGTTCGGAATAATCAATTGAGAAGTAACTACAAAGCGTCATTTCCACCTTACGCTCTAATTGTTATCCTAATGAGTTTATTGCGAAGTTTAGGACAGAAACAACGAGAAAGGAAAAATAAGTTAATAATCCTAAGAAGAAGGTCTTCATTATGTTATCGCACAAGAGGGAATGGAATGATAGAAAGTTCTGCCATCGTCTGCGTCAGTCCATAAATTGCTGCCTCCCTGCAGCTGAGTTCGTGATACTTCACCATGCCAGTAAGTTGCTTCACGAATCCAACCTAGACAGGCCTCACACTCAATTTACCTCCTCCTGCGTTTATCAGTTTAACTGTACGTGCCACCGCATGTACATCATCCGGACTGAGAGAAGCCTGTCAACTCGGATTTCGCGAAACATCCCGCGTAATCTAGTCATAACTGGTGGGGAACTACTTGCTAGCTCAAGTACCAGGCATCTGTTCGACTGTACAATGCTCCAGCACCACCCAGAAGCATTCTTAGCATTCTTAGCAAACAAAGTAATCCTGACTTGCTAAGATTCGCTGAGGCTGCCGCCATCCGGCTTCTAAAGCCTAACCTATGCAAGCAACTGGAACTTGTGGCCAGTCATGCTCTGCCGTTGTAAGGTGTCATTTTTCTTATTAGTATGCATGCAACTGATTGAGAATTCGCGAAATATACTGAATTCAGTATATCCCGCCAGCCGAACAGCTTTTCCTTTCTGCATTTCTAAAATTTATTAATTGTTTAGTAACTTAATTTATTTGAATTATTTGATGTACTTTTTATGTTATATTTTACTTATTTATTCAATGCATTTACTTAGTTATATTAATTTAGTGATCTATGTTGATTTGATGATTAGTTATTGCGCTTCACTCTTTTCCAACTTTATGGCTTTTGAACCACCTCGGGAGGGGTTCCTTTACTTTCTTACCCAGGTTCCTGGTCCTACGTCCTACGCAGCTTGATTTGCAGGGAAAAGTAAACCGGTACACTGCCTTTGATTATAGGTGATCAGTTACTAGATTTTTGAATCTTAAGCAGTGAGTGGCTTGGTCGTGAATACTACGTTCAGAAGGGCGGCATTGAATGTCCTCTTGCATCTTCGACCTATACCATTTAACAGACCTGTTAGCGCTTTGTACCAAGCATTTAGCGGGGCACATTTTCGAAATCGCGTGCTGTGCTTTCAAGTTCTCGAGCCAATAACACTGTTTTGGCATCGTTGACACTCTCATTGGTCATGGGACGTTGGCCAATGGGGCGTCCGTTGAAAGCCAAGAGCATAAACGACAGACAGTCCAATGAGAATTGGTCGAGCACCACCTTCAGTGCTGACCTAATGCGAGTCTGAAGGGAACCCCGATGATTTCTCTCAAAACTAAAACCATCTAATGGGCGACTTGTGATGCCTGTCTAAGGGCGAGATTCTAGTTATCACATGATCCGACTTTGTTAATCAG